AAGTCCTTAGAGTACATTCCTATTATGCGGTTGTTGAGGATTTTATACCTTCTGCATTGGTGCCCTCTCATGATGATTTTCTCTCTTTCATGTTTTCATGTGTTTGAATGTTTTAGGTGATGTTTTTTTTCCTTAGAATTCGAACTCTATGTAACTTTGTCCAGCTTCCCCCTGACTCTTTTTTTCTTTTAATATATTTGCTTGCCATTCTAAAAAAATTGTATAAAAGTATTTATTAGTACATTTAATATATTCAATACATTTATGTAGTCGATCCTTCTATGAGTGGAATTACCTGATTAGCTCAATTATACAACTTTGGCAAATTGATTACTTCTGTAGTTGTACTTTAATATATTGATCCCATTTACTTTTTACAGTTTGGCCAATTGAGTATTTTGTTTAAATTCTAAATTATGATTTTTTTTTTGTTTAAATTTGCAAACTATGAATATGTAAACATTAAATATATGAATCTTAAATGAATGTTTCTTAATTAAAAAAAAATACATCAGAATATTTTAATATTGTTTATATGGTCTGGATGTTATGATCAACAATCATAGTTTTGATTTATCATCTTAAAAAAAGTTCAATCATAATGTCAAGATGTGTTTACTTCATTTTCATTACTATATAAAATTGATGGCAAAGTCCAAGAATAAATATAATTGCATTCCAATATTTGTTTTAAAGAATAACTTAATCTTTATACATGACACAAAATCAGATTAGGTGAAACAACTCTTGAAAGGAATTGACAAGCATCTTCAAGACCTGCAACTTACATTTTATTTGATATGTATTTTGTATAATGAAAAAGTTTACTTTCTATAGCTTAGAAAATTTTAATTGTGTTATCCGGTACTCAAAATTTATACAAGAAAGGATGCGAATTGACACAATCAAATCTATTCAGTGTTGGCTTACTCGGTTCAATTCGTTTTAATGCATTTAGCCCGTATTTCGGTTGATTACAAAAATTAGCAATGGAAGTGCATTACTATTTGTTGTAGTTAACCCCTCTAATGCGATTGTACTTGAATTTGTACGTAGGTTAACTATCAAAAATAGAATGTAGGCTGGTATAATGAAATAAAGTATAATTACAGAATGATGATATAAGAAAAAGTAAAATCAATATTTTTTTATTACACCGGTCCACCGTCCACTGGACGGGTACAACACTAGTTAAAGTATATCATTGTGACATTCATTATCCATTGATAAATAAATCAACAACCTTTTACTTCCTTTCTATTCTGCACTTTTCTCCCGTAAAATATAAACATTTTGGTTTTTCAAACGTAGCCGAGTGATTATGAAGGGGGAAGGTCATCAGCGTTTTTTTGGATAGTATAAGATCCTACTGTCAGCGCTTACTAACAATATTGCAAAGTCTAAAAAAAGCAATTTCATTTAAACCGAAGCAACCAAAACCTTATACAATAACACGAATAAACAATTACGTCCAAATAAGTACATAAAAAAAAACCATTATAAACCCAAAAACCTATGATCTAAGCTTTCCTAGAAGTGATATTATTTTCCGATATAGACTCACCAATACTCAACATAAGTGGATAAACCGGACTAAACTCCTTCTCCCCTCTGGCCCTAACACCAACCGCATAATCATCCAAAGTCGCCTTAATCCCTTTCCAAATCTGATCCTCTCCTTGCGAATCCAACCACAACGAATACTGTAAAGCCGTAAGTTTATTCCGTTGCATCGGCGACTGCAACTCATCCGGGCCCCGCGAATACAAATGATGCAACACAACACTCGGTGGCAAATCCTGGATCACCGGTGACGAACCGAGTTGACTCGTTTCCAAAAAGATAACCGGACGTAACGCGCGAAGGGCCCGATACGGTGCACCGAGTTGCTCAACCGGGTACAAGTTTTGACCCACGGATAGTTCCAACTCAGCCATGTCTCGAGCCATTCGGAGTTTCCCGGACTCGGACAGCGGTCGAACCAGGGACGCGTGTCGGATGAAAAAGATCAGGACTCGAGCCGCCATGGTTCGGACCAGACGCGTGCAAATGGTTTCGGTTCCGATTCCGATTCCGGTTCCGATTCCTTTGGCGGATGAGGGGAGGAGTCGGGAAAGGAATTCGGTGCGGAAATGGGTGATGTGCTTTTGGAGGTCTTCCATGTATGGCGATGAGTTGTTGTCCATGGCGGCATCGGCTCCGTGGGCCCCGAAGTTTTGGTTGTGGATTTGGAGGATGGTGGATTCGAGGCGGTCGAGCATGGACTGGAATAGGGAGGTGACGGAATCGCAGGCGACTTCATAGATGGTGTTGAGGGAGGGGGAGAGGACTTCGGTAGCGATTGGCGGTGTTATGGCGGAGATGCTGATGTGGATGTCTTGTAGGTGTTGGCAGAGTGTGAAGTTTTTTACTTGTGCGGGAGTCGCGGGCCCCGTTATCTGACGCGCTTCGGGTCCCGTTGCTATCTATAAAAAATATAATTTTTTTTTTTGGTTATAATCGGTTAATATATATATATATATATATATATATATATATATATATATATATATAGGAAAAGGGCAAAAACGTAATTTCACCTGGTACTCGGCTCGTTGAGCGAGTAAAAGGAGGACTTTGCTGATTTCACGGAGGACAAGAAGTGTTAAGCGTGTATCCATTTGAACAGCTTCAATTTCTTCTTGAATTCGTGAGATAATTCTTGAAATATGTTCTTTAGAGGGAATACTACCACGGTTTGACATAGGGAATACAGAGTTGACAAGATCTGATAGGCGACTCAAACAAAGGGCTAAGAAAGCTGTTTGAAACACTTCAATGGCACCCACCATTTGATCTCTACCTTCAAGTGTTATGGCAGGTAAAACCCCTTTGACATCTGTGTCTCGTGAAATTCTTTCAAGAAGATTTTCTATCATGGAGAAGAGCTTTGGGTATCCAACTGTAAATATCTCTTTGACAAAACTTGATGCTGTGAAAGTAGATTTCATTTGGTTTGCGAATGATTTTACAATTGCATCCCACACACGAGTGGTTAAGATAGAGTCGCCTTCCTACAAACAAATTTAATAGAAAGATATAAGCTTCATGCAGATGAAAAGACATCAATGCCCTCCTCTTCCTCTTCTTCATGGAAAACATCCCTAGAAAGCTTGTTCAGTTTTGTATTAAGTAAAAAAGAAACATTCATATGTAATGTATTGGATTAAGAACTGAATCAAAATGTAAGAACTGGTGGTAGTACTACATCCAAACACTATCTATGCACCACATTTTATTACAACTGATTATCTTGTTCCGAATTCTAATGATTAATATCACAATCACTTCCAAAGTGAACATCCAAACACCCTGTTACTTAAAAGAGATTCATCAAAATGTATTGTATTAGTCATGATCTAAGCTTCCTTTCCCTGTAAATCTTGAAGCATCATTGTTATATAACAACAGCACACAGTTATCTAACTTAATGCTAACAGTATATATAAGTGTATAACCTACTCATCCAGGATTCAGCAAGGGGAACTCAAAGAATTATACTGAATTAACATAAACGAATTGCAAATGCGATTACAGTATCAACTCACCTGCATCACTTCATCAAGTAGCAAGGCATGAGTGAAGGGATCCCTTTTCTTTGATAACACCCTCTGCAAATGCCAAATGGCAACCACGACTGAATGCAAATGATCCATACAAACAGCCATCCTCTGCCATAATGCATCTTTGGCCTTACCTCCACCACCGAGCTGTGGTGTTCCACTCCTTTGTATCCCTCCCGGACCACCAAAACCACCACCACCGGATGAAGATATCGCCTTCATATCCAAGGCAACACTCACACTCTTTACACCCTGAGTCTTATACTTGTTTATCAAAGTATCTACCGTTGTCCTCAACTCCCCTAGATTGTAGAACACCTGTAAGCCAGCACCAACCTCCGCCTGATTAAAACTTTCAAGACCCCTTTCAAGTACTTTCATTCCTTCAGAGCGCAACCTCTGGCCTGCTTCGTATATCCATTTCAGTTCCTCATCGACTGGGACAATTCCAGATAGATCATTTTCATTGCAGAGGCGCAATATCTCACTGTGTAATTGAGCAGCTTTGGAGAGATCGAGTTTCTCGGCTTCGGGTTCTGCCATCACGTCGCGTAGCTTCTTGGTGAGACGGAGTACACGGACAGTGGACTGAAGGAGATCGACGGTGAAATGGAGGTTAGAGAGTTGAACCGTTTTAGATCGGATCTGACGGTTTGGATCGGCGATCTCGGAACGGACGAGGCGTACGGATGATTGGAGAGTGGAGACGGCGGACCGTATGGAGGAGAGAGAGGATTCGGCATCCTTGACGGAAGAGAGCTGCGAGAGAAGATCGTTGTGACGAGACAGGACTTCGGAACGGAGCTGCTTCTCTAGGAGGCGGATGCCGTCTTGGATCTTCTCGGCACGAGCAGCGGCTGTGCCTGAAGAGAGTGCCTCAGAGGAGAACCGGGTTGAGTCGAAATCGGAGGAGAGGAATTTGGAGAAAATTGGGTCGGAGGCAAAGGAATCTAAGAGTGATGAGGAAGAGGATGGAGGGCTGGACGATGATGGGGTTCCGGAGGTGGTGGCAGTGGTTCTGTCTTTGAAGGTAGGGAGGCGCTGAATTGATGAACGCTGGACCGCCGGCGATGCCATTCTTCCCCGATCGGATGCAGATATGGGTAATCCGCACCGGGAACAAATTTTATTAAGCAACTGAGAAACAATTATCCACCGATACGCGACAGTCAACTATCTCTCACTCCAATTAGAAAATAACCATCATAGCCCATTTTATTTTTTAGTTTATTTTTACATTTTAGTTTTTACTACAAAATAGCAAAATAAATGAAAAAATAACATATATATATATATATATATATATATATATATATATATATATATATATATATATATATAT